CGCACCTGGCGGCGTTGAAGGAAAGGCCGGAGGTCTGCACCCCGAATGGCTTCCACAGTATCGATGTGAACCAAATTGGGCATGGTGGCCAGGGCGGCGGCACTAGCCTCAGGGTCGCTCTCAGCACTGATTGCATAGATGTGCACGCCCAGAGCCAGCAATGCCAAACATAGGCCACCCACTCCGGCCCAAAGATCCAGCACCAGCCAAGTGCCTCGGACTGGGTGGCCCCATGGGAACTGGGGAAGGTCACCCCTGCCGCGCCACGTGAGTGGCTTGGCGCCTGCCAAGCGCTGTGCCAACGTGGTGGGGTTGGGCACCTCCGGCGTGCACATAGTGACCCTTCTCACAGGCTCTGAAGGCGAGGCTGGAGGCGTGTCGTGCCTGGACGGGTGCCCAACCCCCCGCAGCACACAGGCTGCTGGGGGGAGTTGTCCCTATTCCATGGGATGGGCCAGACGGGTATGAGGGCCCTGGCAGGGTTTCCCTGATGGGAGCTTGACATCACACTTGTGGACCTGCGGGCACTTCGTGTTCGAGCATCCACGGCCGTCATTCCAAGGCTTGCACAACTTGAGACCGCCCTTCAACATCGAGATGGTCTGGTGGGAGTCCTGCTTCACCTGACGCCTCTTGGGTGCAGGAGGCCCGGCCTCACTGCCACCCGGGGCAGCCCGTTTGGGCGGATGAGCTGGCTCATTGGGGACTGCCTGAATTGCACTCGCGCGCCATTCCAGGTGAGTCTCACGGAGGGCCTCCTGGAGCGCTTCCCATGCATTGTAGCCCTGACGGATGTAGCTGGCCATCTTGGTGCGGGTCAACAGGTCGTTGCGCTCCAACCACAAACGAGACCCCTGCCCAAATTCCATAGCACTATAGAGAGCATGGTCTGCATAGTTGTTGGCTGCTGTCAGGGAGATGAAGACAGTCTCCTTGCCATCGTGGCCTCGTTGGCGATGCAATCCAGCCCATGCCCATGCATAAGCCAGTGTGCGTAGGGACCAGTAGTAGTCCACCACGGTGCGGATGGTGCGCGCTTCTTCGGTCTGAAACTCCAGCTGGACTCCCTCGCCCAGCTTGACTGCATCTTGCTGTCTCGGTGTAGATTGGTGGAGGACCGACTTGATGCGGGAGGCGGGCACCACCGACATCGTCTTCTTTCTGAATTCCCTGTAAACCCGGGCTCGCAGAGCGTCACTGGGTTCAAGGGTAGCCTCCACAATGATGGAATACTTCGCTCGGAAGTCCCGGTTGAGTTGCTCCATTGTGGACTCGGGCAACGGGTCGTCGACCCCATCAGACGATTTTGCTGCTTGTGCCGCTTGCTTGATGGCCTCAGCACCTGCTGCGTAGGCCGCGCGCAGGCGAGCCTGTGCCAGCCGGTTGTCTTTGAGGCTTGTGGGAAGCAGGAGGGTTTGGATGGCACTCTGAACGTCCTTCTCGTCCACGGAGAAGACGAAATCCTCCAAGGTTTCCCACTTATGGGCACGGGTCACAGCCTCGGCCCACTCCGGGAGGACGTTGGAGACCTGGAAGCAGGTGGCCAAGCCACGGTCATCCTGCAACGTGTCGATCGTATGGCCTCTGCTCATGGCGCGGCGTCGATGGTCTACCGGGGGTCTGGGTAGCACAGCTCCACCCGGGCCGCTCAGACGCGCATGCGATGTTGTTGGCAAAAAGCTGGATTGGGCCATGGTTGCGGTGTCAAGGACACGTCACAAACACACAGGCCGTACCCGCAAATGGATGCCGAGAGGACACTCCCGTGGCAAGCCTTCAAAAGCCGGGGGGTTGCCCATCCAGAAAAACCGCTACCAGTCCCCCTTCCCTTCCTAACCAATCGTGTGCAAGCGGGCGGCAGGCCCCCCCCCCGACCCCGTCCGGACACAAACGGAAACAGGAAGGGCGGCGGGGCCACGGACGGACCCCTCCCCGGGGAAAAGGGGGAGTGCACAACCCAAACAGGCAGAAGCCTATCCCCACCCGAACGAACGACGGATCGGAGGTAGGGCGCAGGCATCCTTTTTCCTGGTATGCGATGCGGTGGTGTGTCAATTCAACCACCCGCAGCTTCGTGCCAGTGCCCGGTACAAGCCTCGGGGCATACGTGCCAAGCATCGTTGGCAAAAACGCTGGCGCGAGACAACGGAGAATCCTTCTCCGGTAGATCGAGGATCTTGCGAGAAAGGTGCGTCCCTGCACCAAGGCAGGAGGCGGCCCTCTGTCTCGCCTCGGATGAGGTGGACTTTGGTGCCCTGCACCAGCCAATGCGTGGTCTCAGCCACGTCATCAGTGGAGATGGCTCCCTCTAGGTCCGTGGCCTCATTGGAGACGTCCGACGCCGAATCAGAAGACGCGGATGATGTAGCCGAATCCGATTGGTTGTCCAGGGCTTCCGGTTCAGGCTCGGTCCCATGTGGTGAGGAGGTCTCTTGCACAGTGGGGCCAGGTTGAACATCAGCCGAGCCACGAGCGGCCGAGTCATCAACAGGCAGCGGTGGGGCGGGCTCAGCCGCAGGCGGGGCTGGGAGCTCAGTCCCCATGTCACCCAGCTGCTCATTCTGGGCCGCCAGTTCAGCCCATGTCCAACTGTCTCGCGGATGAAGGCCCTCATCGGTCAACGCGAGCTCCGCCTTTTTGGCATGGTACAGGCGCATGAACCGCTTCAACAAGGCCTTCTTTACCAGGGCGGAGTGGAGGGCCCGCTGGCCGCTGTAGTGGATGCCCATCGTCCAAGTGGCACGAGACTTCTGATTAGGGATCGGGCCCCCACCAGTGGGGATCTCAACCCAGTTGCCCACTGCCTGCTGGTCCTGAGGGGACAGGCGAACCACGTTCCCCAAAGTCGGGAGGAACCGTCTCAGACGATTGAACCCCGCAGTCTGTGCCTGGTCAGGAGCAGTGCCGATGTCCAGCAGCGCCCCGCGGAGGAGCTCCAGGAAGCGTCCGCGTGACAGCTTGCGGTCAAGGCGCCACGGGGTGTGTTCAGTCACCTGCCACAAATCCAGCGGATCTAGTTGCAAGGCCGGCCAAAGGTAATTGCGCTCCGGCAAAAGCTCCAGGGTGACGAAGTCTTGTACAATCTTCACCAAGCTGAACCCAGGGAAAGGGATGTCTGGCATCGCCCACTGGAAAGCAGGCCGGGCACCCTGGCGCCGTGCCTTGCCCTGGGAGCAGGTGAAGAACAGCGCATTGCCCTCGCTCCGGTCAAACTTGGAGCGTTGCACGTGCTCAAAACGAATGCACGACACCGCAGCCCACAGCATGAAGGCCAGCACCAGGGAGGTGGTACCTGAGCTTTGACGAAGTTTCAAAAGCATGTTCACGAACTCCCATGGCTGCAATTCCAACTTTTGCTGTGAGGTGTGCCCGACTGGAAGGAGCTTGAACCCGCGGACCAGCCAGTGATCCAGAGGGAACTGCACCCCAAATTGGGCCCGGAACCAGTTGAGGGCGTGAAAGACGGCCGAGCCAGCTGTAGGTCCTCCACGAGCCACTTCCTTGAGGAAGGTGTTCAACTGAAGCGCGGTGGGTTGAGCCAAGTCGAACCCCAACCGCAGGGCAAACTCCCTCCACCGTCGTAGCGTGCTCAGGAGTGCTCCCAGGCGGTTCACTGAGAGCCTATCAGCGGCCGGCATGATGGACTCCTTCAATAGTTGCATCCTCGTAGCGTCCTGAAGCTGGGCCCTGGACACCCCCAATTCGTGAAGGTCGAGGAAGTCCTGCACCAACAACTCGAACAGGGACTGCACCTTGGCCACCTTGGCTGCTTGTTCCTTGACATGCGGGTCAGTGGCGGCCAAACTCATCAGGAGGGGGGGTTCACGGACCTCCCCCGTGGCCAGCAATCGCCGCACCGGGCGAGCTACTGCAGTTGAGGCGTCCGGCGGACGAGCAGGAGCGGAAGTCGCGACCGCTGACTGGCGATGGATGCAGATCTCACGGAGGTGGTGCTTGTAGGTGGCTTGCGCTCGTTGGGACGCAAGGGTCCAAAACGAGACAATCGTGAAGCCCTCTTCAGCCGCCAAACCACCATGCCTGCGCTCCAATTCAGCTAGCAAATCACCTCCTGTGGGCCATAGGTGATGGACGTCCTCACAGGTCTGGACGCCCAGGTCCACGAGGTGATTCAGGAGGACAATGGGCCGATCGACCAGGAGTTCCTGGAGTTGTCCCTCCATGGGCTGATCCGGCCTCATGGCTGCGCAGCTGGGCGATGATGTACTCCCGGACGCGGTCGGTGGGCATGTTGAGGGCGCTGCCAAGCTCGCTGAGGCTGATGGATTCATCGGCCTCTCGGAAGAACGGGGCATCCGTTTGGGTTCCAAACCCTTGGATGTGGACCTGGTTCTCTTGGTCCTCTCCATTCTCCTCCACGTAGCGCTGATGCCCCTGCTGCCAGGTCACTGCCCGGGCTTCACACCGGTCACAGACTCGGTGCTCGCCGTCGCAGGCGTGGCAGATGGCGCTGAACTCGTCGCCAGGCTGACAGCGGGCGTAGCACCCTTCGCACCAGGAAGTGGTCCACTGGGCGCAAGCTCGGCACCAATCTGCTTGAAGATCAGGTGCACGATAGACCGCGTCCCACTGGGCCTCGATGAAGGCACCCCGTGCCGCGAGAGACGCCAGCCGCTCCGCACGGGAAAGCAGGCTAGCGTCCCTCCCCCGATTCCCTCGCCTCCACCGTCGCGCCACCACCCGCCAAGCAGCAAGGTCAGTGCGATGGACGGTGGGCATGGCGAAGAAAATTCGAGGGAATCCCCAATCTTGAGCCAAAATGGCGTGTAAGATTGAGGATCCCTCACTATATGTTTCACATCTCAATATGTCCCTACCCAACCAACCATTCATATTGATTGATAAAAAACCATCCCAAGTTTGGCAGAACTCTGGCATCCGTGTCTTTTCATGCCATCAAACCCATCCAATCTGCACCGGTCTCCCCCACCCTCCGCGCCCTTCGTTCGCACGTGTTGACGTCCCGGTGCAACCGGAGGTGCCGGTGACCCCAGCGATCAAGGCGATGAGCCCCAGGAGCCAAAGGACTGCCACGTAGTCGCTGCAGGTCTGGCAGGACCCCGAGGAGGCGAACCTGGCCGGGCCGAGGCGCCTGCGCCAGCGAACGCCGCGGGGGCCGAGCGAGGCCGGTGCCTTCCGGGGCCGAAAGGGGTTGGGACCGCGAGAGCGGTGATTCCGAATAAGGTGCGACAAGTTGGAAGAGACAGAGATGTTCCAAGAATTGTCCCAAGATTTGTGTCAAATCCAGTTTCATTCAGTTCGTGAGCTTGGTGACCAACGAATCGGTGACCTTTCTACTAAAGGTCTAGTCCTGCAGTCTCGGTCCGAGGACTCCCTGGCGGGTTTTGTGGGGCGACCCCAAAGGAAGTCAGTTGTACATTCAGTATACATATCGCTACTACAAGGTGAATCTATACTATAGAGATACAAAGGAAGTACTAATACTTCTATAGTATACTGAAGTGGATGGAGAAAAAAACACTCAAACTGCCTTAAATAGCTAAGGGGGGTTCACCCGCCCGTTTTGCAGTGCGTCCCAAGGCACTGACCCACAGGACAGCGTCGACACGCGAGGCCCTCCTTGCCACCCAGGCAGCTGCCAGGAGCTCCACCAGGGCCTTCAGGAGGAGGAGCGGCCGGCGTGCGGCGTGTGGCGTGTGGTTTTAAGGAACCTAACAGCTTCCAACCTAAAAGCAAGGGCCTCCACCCTAAGAGCGATGGCCTCCAACCTAGAAGAGAAGGCCTCCAACCGTTGCGCGCCACGCGGTGGCGGTTTCTCGCGAGGTTGGAAGTTCAAAGTTTGTTCAGTTCGTCGAAGCCTCGGGGCGTTCTATGTGGACCCAAGTTTTGGGGCCGATTTTTGACGACTGTGACATGGTCCAAGGTACACATGGCGTCGCGACATTTGTAGGTCTCAAGGGGCTCTTCGGGATAGCTGAAGTAGCCCTCTAGGATGTGAGGATTGGCCGCCTTGGTCGTGTTCTGCGCAGCTCAGTTGTCGTGATGCGCCTCTTTCTCTGATCAATTCGTGAAAAAATAGTGGCGTGCCATAGAATCAAACTCCAAACTGGAAAAAAGAGGCCTACCCAGCAGTTGGTTGGACGGCCCTAGATCTGCAGAAATCCTTTGTGGAAACAAACCCTTCGAAAACTAATGAAACAAATCTCAGCGCACATCATCTGTTCCATTGGCACCTGGCTCATGGAAATGCAGCAGAGCATGGCACTCTCTGAACGTGGCACTCCCTCTCTCCCTCTCTCCCTCTCTCTTTCTCTTTCTCTTTCTCTTTCTCTTTCTCTTTCTCTTTCTCT